CCTTATATGATAAAAAAGTAACAAAGGTATTGTCAAATATTGATGATGATGATACTAGAACAGCTGGACTTTCAAAACCAATTACAATTAAAATTGGAGCGAAAGTTATGATAAGACATAAATATTTATGCCAGTTTGGGCCTTGTAAATGGTACAATTGCTACAGTTATGCAGGATAAAACTATAAAAAAGATAAAAGTTTTTTTACCGTCTGGATTAGAGTATTTTATTGAAAGAGTAAATGTTAAGTTTCCATTGATGGATAGAGTTTACGTTATTAGAAAACAATTTCTATTATGTTTGAGTTATGGTATTACCATTCATAAAAGTCAAGGTTTGAGTTTACAAAATGCTGTTATGGATCTAGGTAATAATGTATTTAGTTGCGGTCAGGCTTATGTTGCATTATTTCGAGTAACATCTCTTGATGGACTGCATTTAATTAATTTTGATCCTTCATCCGTGTTTGCTAGTGAAAAAACTATTATAGAATATAATCGATTGAAACGAATACATAATTTAGAATCAGGAATGATCACTATTTCAAAGCAGCGTTATTGTAGAGTTAAAGATGTTTCGTGGAGATTGTCGAAAATAATTACCTCCGTTCAAGAATCGGGTCAAAAAGCTCCATTAAAAAGTACTGCTTGGATTATACGTGGTTTTCAAAATACAGACAAGGTTTCATGCTATGCGAATCCAGTATTGCAATGTTTATTGACTTTATGTTTCCAGAAAGCTATTATTAAATTACGATAAACCTGATGTTTTAAATTTGTTTGCATATCGATGTGAACATGGAATGAATAATTTGAATACCTATGAAATACGGCAATCTTTAGGAGAATATTTTTCGGTTGCTATTAAACGAGATGCATTAGAATTTCTTACAGTTCTTTGTACAAAATACGATTATATAAAAAATATGGTAGAACATCAAGTTACTTATACTTTGCAATTCGTGTGGTGATGAAAGTTATTACTAATACTAATATTTTACTTTCAATCTCTATTTGAAGAAGAAAAGTTATAATCTTGATGATTTATTAAAAACTACATTTTCATCACATTGGTGTCAGTCGTTTGATAAATTATGTGAACGTTGTGGAAGAAATGATATATTATTTAAAAGTGAATTAGTTTCGATAAAAGAGGTGCTTATTATTCACTTAATATCTTTTATTTCAGAGAATGGTAAGTTAGTAAAGATACCACACAAATTTAGTTTACGTGCTGTTCCGACAACGAAAATATTAATAGCTGGACAGACATACAAAGTTATGCTATATTTCATTATGGTTCATGTGTCGAAGAGGGTCATTATACAAGTATGTGTCGAGAGAAGGAACATCTTGGATTGAAATTGATGATGTGTAAGTTAAAAAAAAGCAATGGCCTAGAGGTGCTAAAGATATTTCTATATTATTTTTACAGAAAAATATTACCAAAAATATAGAAAAAAATAACATATATTTACGATGTAGATTAAGATGTTACACATATTGCAGGAAATATATACTACAAAAAAGTAATAGTAACTTTAATTTTTCTTCGAAAATATTTTCATTGAAGGTCTTTCTATTCTGATTCAAGCCATCTAATAATGGCTTTAATTGTTCTTCACAGATAATTACATAAAAATTATTATATCATCACAAAGTTTATTTAACTCCAGTGATATATAAAAGGTAAAACCCAAGTAGTACTATGATTTTTACTAAGCGATATGTTAAACTCTAATGATTATTTATATAAATGATTTATTAAATCCAAAAGATTGTTTGTATTGTCATGTTTGTAAAAATATTTCAGATGTATAGGATTGTATTTTGCGAAGACTGGTGCTCTGTAGTACCAGAGTCATGGATCAATTTGAAAGATAATATATTTAGATCTTAAGAGAGGTCACTATACCTACATACCTACACTGGCCATAATATCACCTTCTCTATTATTAATTATTTATATAATAAATATTATTTATCTAATTATATTGAGTGTAACAATACAGTCTGTTTTTTTTACAGAAAAACAGCATTGCAATAATTGATGGTAAAACGTACTTTCAAAAACACGGAATATTTTGAAAACTTTTTTGGACGATGCTGTATGCAAGAAATTATCATGGACTGGACATAAGGGATTAATGGCAATTAAAGACTTCAACTTTGTCGGTATTATAACAGGTAATTTAAGCTTTTTACGAATATCATACAGTGCAACTATACTTTTTCTGTAACTGTTAATATAATATTGCTTCTTATTAAAATAAATTTCGATGTTTTAAAAGCGTGTAATAATTAAAGTTTGCTATACTGTAGGAATTGAAAGGTGAAGTATAATATATTTAATGTTCATTACTATCAATGTTCTTATTAAAATAAATTTCGATGTTTTAAGAGCGTGTAATAATTAATAGTTTGCTATACTGTAGGAATTGAAAACGGAAATTACTCTATTCTTGGTAGAAATAGATATTAGTTTTCATTTAGATTTTAGAAAAAAGATTTACATAAATTTTTTATATTTAAGAATTGTTTTAATTCCATATTCTGATTACTGAACTTTGCATTATATTTATGTGTACAGAAAGTATGTATTTATCATATAAAACTTTTTTCAACAATCTGTATTATTAAAGTGCAAGATTATAAAAGTTATTTTGTAATTCTTTCAGATTATGTATCAACTACAGATAAATGCACCCTATATGAAGTCTCAAAAGTAATCCAAGAATGGCTGCGGCGCGCAGGAGATCGTATAAATTATCAAACAAAGAAATACGCAAATATAAATGCAGCTGAAAATATAAATGTAGTGCAAAAATATAAATGCGGCGGAAATTATAAATGCAGAATAGAAAATATAAATGCTGCGCGTAACCAAAGAAGTAGATTTTGTAGGCTGTATTTATATAATTAGTTTTTATGTTTAAAACCGTCTTAAAACTATATAATATAGTCATATTTTGTGCGTTTTTTATACAAAAGTTTCGGATATCAATAAAAAATAAATGAATGTACAGATATATGAAACTTTTATTAAAGATAATATTATTTTATAAATATTAAATAAATAATGGTCATCTACTAAATGAATAATGGATATCTACTGATATTATGTGTTTCAAAATTTACTACCGAAAACCTATAGTTTACATTATGTGCACTATAGATTTTAAGAACTGGCAGTTAATTTTAAAAGATTGTTGTATATCTTGAAATAAGATAAAAATTACAAAAGTGAGCAAATTTACTAAAATATTAATATTCTAGTAAATTTACTTACTTTTGTAATTTTCACTTTGATAGGTCAGGATTAAGTTATATTGGCAGAGTTTTGATATACATCGTCAGTACTATGAAAATCTAATGAAAATCTTATTAGATTTTCATAGTACTGGCGATGTATATCGAAATTCTGTCAATATAACCTAATTTAATCTATAAAAATTGTAATGTCCAAAATTAGTCTGAAAAATGTCTGAACAATGACATAGGATGTCTCAAAGACGTTTTATAGATCATTATAGGGAATGTCTGAATGACATCCATCAAAATGTCTAAAATATGTCTAACATGACGTCTGACAGACGTGTAATAAGACTACTAAAAGACAGACATAAGGCGCCTTAAAGACGCCTTAAAAACGCCTTTTAATAAAATTTTTCGGATGTCCTACAGAATTTTATGACGTCTTTTAGGCGTCTCAAAGACGACTTATTGTTCACTGGGACGTAATTTAGGACTAACGACGTGGACGTAGAAAAGTTAGGTAGTCCCCTTTTTTCATTTTTTTACATTTTATATTTTTTTATTTTTTTTACATTTTTATTTATTTATTTTTTATTTATATTATTTTTTGCTAATTATCATTTTCCACCTATCAAGTGAAAATATTGGAATTTATGACAAAGTCTGTATTGTATGAAAATCTTCAAAACACATTCTCAATTATATTATTGAAATAATAGCTGAATATTTGATGGGCTGCGGTGATTCAAGTTATACAGACTTCTGTTACTGGCCACTATAGTGGCCAGTCCGACCTTCTAAAGATTAATCGTCGCTCAAATTTAGTAATCGATTTGCCGACTACATCGTTCGCGTCCGATATTGTAATAATCGGATCGTAGTGTAATAATAAAAGAATAAAGTCAGTGATCGTTAAAATAATGTGACTGTTTATTCGATCTATCAAACACATTCTTATCGCTATTCGTCGGTAACTTTCTATATTATATTATAGAACTGAAGGCAGTAAAGTTGCTCTCTTTAATTAAATATCTTACACAGGCAACACTGTGTAACACAACGTTTATACTGATGCTTTCCATCTACGACTCAGAAAGACAAAACGAAACACAGCTTGATATGGGTGCTTTCCAACAAGAGATACAGGTAACACTGCATAACATAGTGTTCATAATGGTGCTTTCTATTATGATTTAAGGCTATCACAAAAATTTTAGTCGTAATCGTAATGCCATAAGCAAATCGGCCAATCACAGTTGAGCATTTAAAAACGTGAGATCTTAATTTTGATTGTGATTGGTCGATTTGCTTGCGACTTTACGATTCCGACTAAAATTTTTGTACGTGTGATGGCCTTTAGAGAGACAGAACTACACTGCGAAACTTAGCTCGATCTTAAGTTTGGCCGCGTCGAATTGCGTCGGGCGTCAATGAGTGCTTTCCAGCAAGGACGCAATCCCCAGTGAAAAATGACAATGGAGTCGATGTCGAATCGACGTTGATTCGACATCGACTCCATTGTCATTTCTCACTGGGTCAAACCCAGTGTAACACAGTGAATCATTATATCCTTGTCATTTGCCTAGGTAAACAAGGATAAAACGATTCATTGTGTTACACAGTATCTGATTGTAACCTTGCTGGAAAACACCTGTCGATACGCTTAAAGTCACTGTTATATGAAGCAAATAGTATTACGAGTCGACGCCAGAAGCCGATAAAAAAACTAATTTTCCAATAACTTGACATCGTCGAGGATAAATGTTCTCTCCAATAGTATTATGGTTTACCTTTTATTAAATATAACTTAGTTAATTGCGTTTTCCTCTCGGCGTCTGACTTACATCATTAAGACAATTCAAGGTATATATATTTATGTAATTTAATTGTTACTAATTTACTATAAAATGTACATATTTGATAATTTTAAACTGTAACGCAATGTCAAGTTATTATTTATTTGTAAGATTATAAAATTGTGAAAAGTGAGATGAGATCACCTTTATGATATTTTTACATATGGACCGCATATTGCGAATACAAAATAACCGATGTTTTTACTGGATATTATAATGTGACCGAATATTCCGATAATTTATGTAATATTGCTTATTGTTTTACATTGAAAATGACCCGATCGATATCGAAACGTTTGTATGTACGAATTTTAAATTATTAAATATTTTACATTATAATTGGCTCGTAGCCCTTCTTTTATTTAGTGACTAATTTTCCAACTTTTTTCGCATAAAGTCAACCGATTTGGACTACATTATCGCTTATATTTTAATTGTGAAGGATTTTTAGTTCTATAAAGTCAGGAAAATACCCAAACAGCCATCTACGTTCCTGATAACATTAGAACGATATCGCAAACGTATGTTGAATACGTCGTCAAGATATTCTGTGACGTACAGAGTATTTCTTCAGAATCTACTATATCCGCGATTTCTCATCCCGTAGACTTTCGCAAGGAGCTTCTAGTGATATATCATAGTTATTTTGAGATGTATGAGTATGTCTTTACTATATCTCTAGTACGTCTCTACAGTATCTGCATTATCATAGTGATGTCTCTAGTATGTCATGTATGCATGCACATATACACATACATACACATATATATATATATGGGGCATTCCATCCCAAGTGTGCCACCCGTGAACTTTTGGATTTTTGATTTGGCTGAAATTTTGATATTTTATAGTACCCATCGGAAGAAGCTGCATAAAAAATAGAAGATTATTTTGGATTTATTATGCTCGTGCTCAACCTCGTGGCTCACATGCCTGTGGCCGAAAAGGCGGGAAAAGAAGGATCACTAGGATGCGTTCCAAAACTCGACTTTTGTCAACTCAAGTATCATTTTGTCCTTGTGTTCACTGAATGTTGAACAAGGATAAAAGATACTCGGAGTTGATATAGTCCAGTTTTGGGACTCATCCCTGATGGCGCTATGACCGCCGCGTATTCCGACACTAGTATTTACGAATTTTAGTGCCACAAATATGAATGCAAAATATAATTTCAAAAAATAATTTCTATAATAATAAACTATTACTATAGAAAAGATAATCAAGAAAAAATGGAAGATCTTTTCTAGGTTATAAGTGCAATGCTTATAGAAATTAAATGCAGCAGGCAGCGTTGGTTCTGCATTTTATGTTGTGAATTTGTTCTGAAAATATATGACAGACGTACACGAGATATACCGCAAGAATAATTTAAAGACATCTTGGGTATAATCGATATGATAGAAGTATATTCAGCATCAGAATCGAAATTTAGTTATTACATTTGATATATCTTGACAACATACAAGAAATAATATTTTACTAATACGTCACATTAACGTTTCTGGTTTATTCGGTATAATCACAGTACATTCAGTATGAATATTAAATGTTAGCATGATATCATGTGCTGTCTGGGTACTTATTTGAAAAATAATCGATAAAACAGAACGACTTTAGGATCCCCTTAACGGTTACACTTCAGTAAAATATCATATGGTCAAAATGATTCTCAATGACTTTACGCCAATTTGATTCATCTCATTTTGTTCATAAAAATATTAATGTTTACTTATAAAAATATTAATAGAGGAGAAGATGGTATTATGTTACCCGAGTTACATTTTACATAATAACTTCGTTATTAATCAATATTTAAGTTTGAAACTTGATAATTACATTTGTTAAAATGTTATTGAATCGATACTGGAATCAAAATTATGAAATATTTATTACTTAGAATACTATTAATAAAAATGTGGCGACATTGCATAATGACTCGAAGAAAAAAAATGGGTAATGTGACCTTCCATAAAAATAGTCTTAAAATATTAGTTTTGTAGAAAACAGTATTTGGTTACAAAATTAACAAAAAAATAATACATTTTAAAATGTATGTAAATGAATGTATATACATTCACATAACTTTGATAAGCTGCTCAGTACTAAAAATCTCAGTACTAAAAATAGTACACATAATATAAACTGTAGATTAACAGTAGAGCTACAATCGATTACATATCAAATAACTATTTTGATATGAAAATCTCAAAAATGAGGTCGTGAGTAATCAATATCTATAGAGGGCCACATTAGCAAAATGTCATGGCATTGTTTAAATTTGCATAACTCGATTAAAATATATACAGTCAAATAAAATGTTAAATAACAAATAACACATTCAAAAATATATATATTCATGTGATAATACACTCAAGTTGAGGGTACGCCACTTTGACGGTTTAAAAAAATCGAAAATTTTTTTCTTTTTCTTGAAGCTTTAGATATGTTGAATATTGGATTAAAAGGATTTTTCAAAATTCGAATTAGTTACAATGTTACAGGATCGCGCGTCAGTGCGCTAAGTCAGTAGCGACTTGACTTAAGGACGTTGAGTCGATAACGCTCAATGCGCACGCACTTTAAATAAGAAGAGACATTGACATTATGGCATTGACATTATAACATTGACTTTATGGCCTTAGAATAGCTGATTAGAGGTAAATTAAAAATAAATTGTTTTATTTTAATATAAAGTTTGCTTAAAACTTTAAATCCGTTTTTCTCGAAATCATGTTTTTCGACTTTGCCCCCAGATTTCTGCGACTATTCATCCGATTGCCTTGAATTTTTACAGAATTAGTGTTAACAATATTCTCTATCATGTAGCGTAGGATTTTTTTGATATTTTAATTTTTCAGGATTTTATAAAAATTTAAAGTCAGGTACCCTATTTTTAAAATGCCGCCATTTTGTTAATTTTCAAGATTTTTAAAAAAATCCTACGCTACACGTTAGACAATATATTTTTATGTGTATTTTTATAAATTTAATCAGTTTTTTATGTTTCGAGCGTGATCGATGCTGGGGGCCATGAGACCATGACATTAAAAACATGATGTATTATTATTGATGTCTATAATTAAACCATTTTCTACATTTTTTAAATAAATAATATATATAACATTATATTAAAGTTGTTTAATAACACCTAAAAGGAATTAATCAATTCTATCAATAATTACCAGAGAAAAATCACTTCAAAATTCACCTACTTTTTCAACCTCTCAGGGTGACGTAACCCCTTAAGAAAAATGAGGAAGTAGGTGTAATTAAATGCTAAAGTGTACCTCAAAAACGTTTCGAAATACTTGAAACTAAAAATGTGTTATAATAAGTGCTGGCTATTGAGTATTGGTAATATTATCATGGTGTAACGGCGAGCTACTGAACTAATAATTTCATAAGTAATCATTAGGATTCGCTACATATAATAGCGGAGATATTGAGGGAGGCCAATACATATACAATGGCCAGAATAGCATCTTTTGCTCTCCGTTTATACCTCTTGTAGATTGTGATTCAAACTCAGTATTGTCTTCCACTCTAACATTGTCTTCCAAGAAGTTTTCATTACGTACACGTGAAACATCTGAAATGTAATGTTTATTTTTATTATCTACTTAAATATATTTTTGGTTTCAGTTTATGAAATTAAAACTTACAAAAGAAATTAAATAATTTCATTAAAAACTATTTTTCCAAAGTATTAGAAAAAAATTATTTAAATTGTTTCAGTAGAAAAAAAAACAATGTAAAGTAACCAAGTTGCCGAATCGGTTTTCCATTTATAAACACAATTAAACTACTGTAGTAATATTACGAATTAAATTGACAAGCAATTTTTAATAAAATTTATATTTACATTTTGTTATAATTAAGTCTATCATATTTGAGTAATAAAAACCATATTATACATACCAACTACTTCTTCAGAGTTGTCAGTGCTTATATTATTACGTGTATCATCTTGTTCAAAGTTGTCAGTGCATGTATTATTACGTACATATTCTGCAAACATAACATTTACATTAATATTAAAATTTTTTTAATGTTTTAAACATAGACATAATTAAATCATTCATAAAATAGCAAATCAAAATTATACATACCATTTACTTTATCACTGCTGTCTATGTTACTCTTTGCAGTGGAAGTGGAACGATACACGGATGCAGACACAGGTGAGTCCATATGAGTGGACGAAGAAATTAGCACAGAATTTGCCTTTTTTAGAAATTCTGCAAACATGATCTTTAGATTATAATATTAAAATTATTGTTAGAAACATAGACATAATTAAATAGTTCATAAAATAGCAAATCAAAATTATGGCACGTTTACGATAACCGGGGCCCCTCAAAATGAAAGTGATTTTCAGAACCATTTCTAGCGAGGAATACGAGAAAAATAGTAAAAAAATTCTCTAACCAATAGATACCAAAATAACTAACAAACGGAAAAAATGGAGTGGACTTTGTTTCGCGTAGAAAGTCGTGCGCCCCTTTGCAGAGGGGGGAGGGGGAGGGGAGTCGAGGATGAGTCACCTAAAACCTGTTGGAGGTCTTTCAGGATTACTACCTTTTAGTGGATAATCATTGTTTATTAAAAAAAAGTTATTATCAAATTGATCATAAAATTGAATTATGATTATCAAATTAAATATTGATTATTGAATTTTTTTACTATTTTTCCCATGTTTCTCACTAAAAATACTTTCAAAAATCACTTTCATTTTGAGGGACTCCGGTTATCGTAATCATCTCAAAATTATGCATACCATTTACTTTATTATTGATATCCGTATTACTCTTTGCATACTCAGTATTGTCTTCCACTCTAACATTTTTTTCCAAGAAGTTTTCATTACGTACACGTGAAACATCTGAAATGTAATGTTTATTTTTATTATCTACTTAAATATATTTTTGATTTCAGTTTATGAAATTAAAACTTACAAAAGAAATTAAATAATTTCATTAAAAACTATTTTTCCAAAGTATTAGAAAAAAAATTTAAATTGTTTCAGTAGAAAAAAAAACAATGTAAAGTAACCAAGTTGCCGAATCGGTTTTCCATTTATAAACACTGTTTATAAATGGATATAAATTAAACTACTGTAGTAATATTATGAATTAAATTGACAAGCAATTTTTAATAAAATTTATATTTATATTTTGTTATAATTAAATCTATCATATTTGGGTAATAAAAACCATATACCATCTACTTCTTTAGAGTTGGCAGTGCTTATATTATTACGTATATCATCTTGTTCAAAGTTGTCAGTGCTTGTATTATTACGTACATATTCTGCAAACATGATATTTACATGATATTACTATTGTAATATTAAAATTTTTTTAATGTTTTAAACATAGACATAATTAAATCATTCATAAAATAGTAAATCAAAATTATACATACCATTTACTTTATCATTGATGCCCATGTTACTCTTTGCAGTGGAAGTAAAACGATATACGGATGCAGACACATTAGATGAGTCCATATGAGTGGACGAAGAAATTGGCACAGAATTTTTTTTTTTTACAAATTCTGCAAAATATAATACATTATTTTAGAATGTAAATGAAAAACCAAACTTTGATTTATAAAAGGATTTATAAAGGAGGGAACAAATTTTCAAGTGTTTCGCGATGCAACATTTGCGTATCATAGTGTTATTTGGCGTTTTATCCAACTTTGAATTAATTTATAGATGATAGAAGCATAACGATGCGAATAAGGATTTTCTTTATAATTTTATTTCAATGTATCAATTATCCCTTAAATATAGCGTTATTATGATAATTTTGATAAATTATCTCCTCTTTTTATTATTTATTATTTTTATTTATTTAATTTTATTATAAGCATGCACGCTATTACTAAAAATCGAACTGTACGTACCATTAGATTCTGTGTCATAATCAATATTACTCGTTGAAGTAGACAGATGCACAGATGTCAGGTTATTTTTATTATTAACTTTATAATTTGAAGGTGGCGATGGCACGCTCTTTAATTTCTTCGTAACATGTGCTATGGGAATAATGTTAATTATTTATAATAATATAATATATAGGGTGGTGAGAGTGGTTCGCATAATATTATCTAAAATCTCTTGATTTATTACAAAACTTGATTTTGAGGCATTAATAAAATAAAATTTTAAACGGCTTCTATAACAAAAAAACTAGTCATTTTCAAGCTTTGAGCATGGACACTTTTGATCAGTGAGTCAAAAATTATAACATATTAAAGTTTCAACCAATTTCATCGGGTGTTAAAATCCTATGATTTTGTGCGAGGTCCTTTTAGCAATTTCGCGGAAATATTCCAAAACGTGGAATAATTTCAACAAAATTTTTTCACGAGGGATATGCTTAATTTTTCTTAATACATAACAATAACGTAAATATTTCAATCTAATAAAAGTTGTAGCGTGCTATATAATATTATTACGAAATAAGAATTTAATGACATTTTATATACATAAATATTAGAAGATAATTACTAATGTTGGCAGCTTCTTTAATTTCTTCAAGAAATTTTTTGATCATTCTCTTTTTGGGTGTTGTCAAACAATTTTGACTCAATGCTTGAAATCGTCCTTCATTTGTAGAAACATTAGTTGCCTCTTTCTCCATTTTACGAGCTATGTCATAAGTTTCTAAAAAAGTAATAGATATTTTTTAAGTTATAGTATAATAAATATTTATAATTAAACATAATTTAAAGCATAATATTTTCATTATAATTTTTAGTGCAAAAATGAAAATAAGAGGAATAATCTCCAATGGCCTTAATCTTGACAAATGTTATCCAGGATATGATTCTGAACAACATTCAAGAGGTTTTAGCCATCGGTCAGACAATTTGCGTAATGCTAATGCCGGCTATATTGTAACTTTCGAGTCTTATAATTCGAAAAATACTTAATGAAAAAATATTTTATTATAGTGTTTTAAAAAGCTCTCGAGGTAAGCCACAAGAAAATGTAATGAAAAATAGGAGGTTCCATTTTAAAAAATCGACGTGATCTTAACTTGGCCTTGACGATATCACCCAGATCTTTTGAAATTCTACAACTTTTATCTGAAACACTTTTTTCTAAAATGCTTAGTTTTCAAGATATTTCGACGTCCCGATACTTTTTATACACCCTGTATATAGTTTACAGGAACAATCTCTTTAAAATTTGTTGATAGATGATAAGGTATTATACTATATGCAAAATATGGTATAAGATTCATCGTTGTATTCCGACTTAATTGTAAAATAAAGTGCATAAATATAAACATTTTTAAAACATTAAAAATGAAGAAGTAAAAAAAGCTATTCCATAAAAAGTACATACATACATGTATGTGCATCATGAACAGAAACAAAAATTAAAAGGTATACATATTGATGTAAGTAGAATTACAAATGAAGGCAAATGCATTGCACATTGCAAGCAAGAAACTATAATCATGGAAAAGCCAATTGAATTTATAAGATCTATTTACACGTATGTATGTACTCATATATATATTTTAATAAACATAAAACAAATAATTACTCGTTAAGATATTCTGTTCCTCTTGTTTCTTCGTATGAATTATTATACGAACCTGTTGAGTTAGATAAGTCTTCTTGATGTTTTGCATTTTTTACAGTCGTATCTGCATCCATATAATTATCCGAATTGTTCTCGTTATCTATGTCATTATCTGAACCGGGACCGAATATCCTACATTTAGATAAGGAGTGATTGAAGGATCGATAAAAAGTGTGATTAAAAATTATACACGCTATTCCACTGTACAGTCAACGTTATCATTTTTAAGAGTCCTATGATTCGAACTTTACAAGAAGATCAAGCAATCAAGTAGATTCAAATATTATATAAATCAAATAATTTGTGCGAAAATTAAAATAATTGAATATTACAAATATTTTGGTGGTAATATTACATTAGTGAGATAAAGGTAATTATATAGAATAGGGGACATTGTTTGTTTTAGAAAAAATCAAATTTAGAGAAATGTAAAAAAAAATACTCATATACATAATTATGTATCATTTTACACATAATTATATATTAGCAATTTTGGTACATTTCCCCAAACTTGATTTCTTCTAAAACAAATAATGCGAAAATTATCCTTTTAATTATTTTTAACGTCTTCTTCATTATTATTATTATTTTTATTACACTAAAAAAATATTTTTACAAAAAAAGGATATATGAACATGTATGGACATATTTATTATTTATTATATAATATAATTCAGTATGTATATGAAAATTTATTCATATCTATGTATTTTTTATACATTTTTATATACATAGATACATTCATGCATGAAAAATTTTTTACCGGGTCATGACCTTGACCACATTTGTTAAGATCAAAACATCGAGGCTGATTCCTGGGTACTATATAATTACCTTTTTTTTTACATATATTACGTATTGTTATGTATTTATATAAGAAATAATTAAAAAAGTAAAAAGAATACTGTAAAGATATTTTCAATTATGTACACTACTCCATTATGCGGTCAAAATTATCAATAATCAAGAGTGTAGCAATCAAGTAAATTTTAATATTCTATAAATCTAATAATTAGTTGATGAAAATTAGAATAGTCAAATATTACTAATTTCTTTTATATTGACCATGGTGACATCAGATTTGAATCATGAGATTCAGTTTGTGCTCAATAAGATTTATATATAACATATATGAACACTCATTAGTTTTGTAAGGGACAGCTCACAATCAAAGGAACAGGGAACGATGAACAGAGAATAATAATTTCAAATTATAAGAAACCATATACTGTAGAATGTACTAAGTTTCTGATAGACTAAAATTCATATCCCCTATTCGCTGTTCCTTTGATTCTACGTAGCATCTTATACTTATATATTATATCTCTAATTAATTTTTTAATTTGTGTATGTTAAATTAATAAATTTGGAATATTTCTTTTTATTGTACGTTTATGCTGTTTGAAAGTGCAAATGATTCGAGAGGGAATATATTTACAAATGCAGATTTTTGAAAACGTACAATTTGAAATGTCTAAAATTAATATGTCAATCAATTGAAAATTAATTTTATGTTTAAAACATATTTAAAATAGAAGTTAAGTTTAATTTGTACGTTTTTGTTTAATGGTTCTTTTGTGTAATAGTTTATTGATAAATAAAATTTAGTTTAACTGATGTCTGTGTTTAATAGAATTATAATTATATAGGGAAAGTAATGAAAAATCTTTCGTATAGGGATAGAATGGACTAAACTGAGAAGAAAAGTACTCTACCATTTTACAATTTTCGCCTAGTTATTACAATTTTTCGTTAGTTAACAAGATATTAATTACTAAAAATTGTCGAAAATTGGTCTTCAATAATTTTTTACTCAAATACTATCAACTTTACCGAAAAATTGAAAGAGACAAAAACTGTTTATTTTCTTCTCATAAAGATCTAAGAATTTTTTCAGAATTTTTTCAAAATTTTTTAATATACCGTATTTTCTCATGTTGGTAAAAATAACAAAATGCAGTACTAAAAAATTAATAAAAATTCTGAAAAAATTCTTAGATCTTTATGAGAAGAAAATAAACAGTTTTTGTCTCTTTCAATTTTTCGGTAAAGTTGATAGTATTTGAGTAAAAAATTATTGAAGACCAATTTTCGACCAATTTTTATTAATTACTATCTTGTTAACTATTGTGAAAATTGTAAAATGATAGAGGACTTTTCTTTTCAGTTTAGTCCATTCGGCTCTTATCCGAAAAATTTTTCATTACTTTCCAAACACCCTGTATAATTGTAAATACCAATTATCTTTTGTTATATGAAAATGTCTGATATACAATTAGACTGACAAGAAAAAAAAATTTTTTTAATCGGCCTCTCTGCTCAAAAGCTTCCATTTCATGCCAAAAGAACACCTCTAAATTTTTATCAAAAAATATTAAGTTTTAGAGGTCGCTAGTGAATGATTTTTAAATCAAAGTTTCAATTTTCCTTAATACATGTTCAATTTGATACAAAAATAGCTTAATCCGAATTTTAAATATGGCACTGTATGTTTTTTTGACCTACAATTTGAGGGAAGTAATGACTCATTTGAATGCTTGAACCTTACTAAAATCGACCTTGAACTCGAAATTTGTTCATTTTTTTCACAATAATCGGACTGTATTTTTTAAAATGTATATCGTAGAGCTAAATAAATTATTACATCGTATTCAGCGAAAAAAACAGTATCACATTTAAAAGCCGGTTTAAACCATTTTTCATCAAATCAAACATGTATTAAGGAAAATCGAAACTTTGATTTAAAAATCGTTCATTAGCGACCTCTATATCTTAATATTTTTTTAAAAAATTTGGGGATGATCTATTGGCATGAAATGGAAGCTTTTGAGGCCGATTAAAAAAAATTTATTTCTTGTCAGTCTAATATATATGTATGTACTAATACAAATTATAGATGCATTTTTAAACCATATTTGACTAAACGCACAAAAAACGAAAAACCCTATTTAACAAATTTTTCAATGAGTATATACTATTGTCTGTGTTACATATATTTAGCTAATATAGATTATGTTATTACAATAAATTTCTAAGTGCGTTTCATAAATTATCTAATATGCATAGAGTATACTTACTTGTGATATTTTTTTAAGTGTCCTTTAAATTGAGTTACATCTCTGCTCCTAATTGCTGCTTTACATATTTTGCATATTGACATACAGTCTTTTAAAGTAAAATAGTCCCAGGGCCAACTTGAAAATTTGTCATTATTAAAATTTTATTATTCGAACACTTAAAAGCGATCTAACATGTAGCAACCAAATAGAATCAAATGTTTTATAAATCAGATTATTCCTGAGAAAATTTAAATGGTCGTATATTACTAGTTCTTTTTGGTGATATTAAATTTAAATTCTGGATGATACTTTGTGCTTAATAAAATTACAGAATACGTATGTATACATAATACCAATAGATGCTTTTTAATATCATATCTGCTGACACTGTTTGATACATTTTTCGATAAATGAATTTTCTCGTCTGCATTATATTACCTTTAGCTAATATAATTGATTATTTTATTAAAATCATATTTATTTTTTTAGTACGTATATTAATTTTTAGTATACATAAAGTATGCTTACTTGTGAATTCTTCTTAAGTGTTTTTTCAAAGCAGTTATGTCGCATATGACTATTGTTTTGCATCGGTTGCATGATGCTTCTCTATCGCTTTTTGCGATATAATGGTCCCAAATCCAATGGAATTTAATTTCATTCTTCTGTTCTTTTGCTAATTTGTCTGGATGTGCTTCTACCAAATGCTTATGTAAAATAATTAAGTTAGATATATGTATAACGAATTTTGCATTACAGTGATTGCATGTTGCTTCATTACTTCTTGTTAATTTTGTGTAATGTTCACGTATCCAGCAACGAACTGGAATAAAATTGTCTGCTGCTTCTCTAAAAGAAATAATTTCTGATTGATTACTCATTATAAAGATGATTGATGAAATAAATGAATGTTTCACTTAATAGATAGATTATATTTGTATAGAAAATTCCACTCTACTGACAAAAATCACGTCACACAGTTGCATAATGAAATCATGTAATTAAAACATGTAAATCAAGTAACGGATTGTTCTAAATCAGTATGTGATTTTAAAATTACGTATTTTGAAAAATCACATGATAATATGTTCTTTTTTCTTCTATTCCTATCGTTCAATTCTTTAAAATTCGATAACTATAAAATCGAATGATAGATGAAATTATTTTTAATATCATGTGATTTTTCAAATTAAATTATTTTTAAAAGTCACGTACTGGTTTGGAACAATTCGTTACGTGATTTACATGTTTTAATTACACGATTTCATCATGTAACGTTGTGACATGATTTTTTCCAGTAGGGCATTTAATTGACAGGATCTATTTATACATATTGTAGTCAAGGCAAAGCGATTATAATTACTCGTTAATTATTGCTTCTGTTCCTTCTGCATATTCGTACAAATTGTCAGATAAATTTGTTGAATTAGATGAAGCTTCTTGATGTTTCGCTTTTCTTAGAGTTATATCCATGTCATCATCTAAACTGCTTTCTTCGTTATCTATTACATTATCTGAAGTTGGACCTGATATCCTACATTCATGTAAAGGAGTTATTAAAAAAGCTATAAAAAGTGCAGTAGAGATATTATTTTATATGATGCAAACTACTCCACTATGTGGAAAATTTGTCTTAAAATTCTTAAAATCTCATTATTCGAACACTTAAAAGCGATCTAGCATGTAACAACCAAGTAGAATCAAATGTTTTATAAATCAGATTATTCCTGAGAAAATTAAAATGGTCGAATATTACTAGTTCTTTCTGGTGATATTAAATTTAAATTCCGGGTTGTGCTTTGTGCTCAATAAAACTACAGAATACGTATGTATACATAATACGAATAGATGATCTTTTATATCGTATTTGTCGACACTCGTGTTTGATACAGTTTTTCGATAAATGAATTTTCTCATCTGCATTATATTATCTTTAGCTAATATTCATTATTTTATTAAAATCATATATATTTTTTTAATACGTATATTAATTTTTAGTACACATGAAGTATGCTCACTTGTGTGTTTCTTTTAAGTGTCTTCCTAAATCACTTGTTGAGTTGTACATGATTATTCTTTTGCATCGTTTGCATGTTGCATGTCTATCGTTTTTTTCAATATAATAATCCCAAATCCAATGGAATTTAATTTCTTTCTTCTGTTCTTCTGCTAATTTGTCTGAATGTGTCTCTACCAAGTGCTTGTGTAAAGTATCTAATTTGTTCATATATATGGGGAATATTACATTACAATGAATGCATTTTGTTTCGTTAGTCCTTGTCAATTCTGTGTAATGTCCACGTATCCAGAGCCGAACTGGGACCAAATTGTTTTGTGCTTCCCTAAAAGAATAACTTCTGATTAGTTAATTATTATCAACGTAACTTATGAAACAATAAATGAATGTTTCTCATAATAGATAGATTATATTGTATAGAAAATTCCATGTTTAATTCGTAAAATCTATTTATATATGTTGTAGTTGATTGAAAGCGATTATAATTACTCATTAAGTCCTTTTATTCCTTCTGTATATTCGTTTAAACTGTCAGATAAGTTTGTTAAATTAGATGAAGCTTCTTGACGTTTTGCTTTTCTTAGAGTTATATCCTTGTTTGCATCCCTTTCATCATCTGAATTGATTTCGTTATCTGTTACATTATCTGAAGGAACTGATATCCTACATTCATGTAAAGGAGTTATTAAAAAAGCTATAAAAAGTGCAGTAGAGATATTGTTTTATATGATGCAAACTACTCCACTATGTGGAAAATTTGTCATTATTAAAATCTCATTATTCGAACACTTAAAAGCAATCTAGCATGTAACAACCAAATAGAATGAAATGTTTTATAAATCAGATTATATTCCTGAAAAAATTAAAATGGTCGAATATTACTAGTTCTTTTTGGTGATACTAAATTTAAATTCCGGGTTGTGCTTTGTGCTAAAAAAAAATTACAGAATACGTATGTATACATAAGACATAATAGATGCTCTTTTATATCATATTTGTGCTAACACTCATGTTTGATACATTTTTCGATAAATGAATTTTCTCGTCTGCATTATATTATCTTTAGCTAATATTGATTATTTTATTAAAGTTATATTTATTTTTTTTAATACGTATATTAATTTTTAGTATGCATGAAGTATGCTCACTTGTGCATTCTTTTTAAGTGTTTCTTTAAAGCAGCTGTGTCGCATATAATTATTGATGTGCATCGTTTGCATGTTGCTTGTCTCTCGTTTTTCACGATATAATAATCCCAAACCCAATGGAATTGCACTTCATTCTTCTCTTCTTCTATTAATTTGTCTGGATGTGTTTTAACCAAGTGCTTATGAAAAGGTAGTAAGTAGTTTATATCTATATTAAATTTTACGTCACAATGATTGCATGTTGCTCTGGCATTCCCTGTCAACCTTGTGTAATGTTCACGCATCCAGCGACGGATTGGGATTAAATTGTATGTTGTTGCCCTGAAAAAATAATTTCTGATCAGCTACTTATTATAAAGATAATGGACGAAATAATAGATGTTTCATATAAATATATTATATTTGTATAGAAAATTCCAAGTTTAATTCGTAAGATCCATTTAAATGTATTATAGTTATCGCGAAGCGATTATAATTACTCATTAATTGCTTCTGTTCCTTCTGCACATTCATACAAATTGTCAGATAAATTTGTTGAATTAGATGAAGCTTCTTGACGTTTCGTTTTTCTTAGAGTTATATCCTTGTTTGCATCCATGTCATCATCTGAACTGCTTTCGTTATCTATTATATTAACTGAAGTTGGACCTGATATCCTACATTCATGTAAAGAGTTGTTAAAAAAGCTATATAAAGTGTGATAGAGATATTATTTTATATGATGCAAACTACTCCATGTGGAAAATATGTCATTATTAAAATCTTATTATTGAAACACTTAAAAGCAATCTAGAATGTAGCAACTAAGTAGAATCAAATATTTTATAAATCAGATTATTCTTGAGAAAATTAAAATGTTCGAATATTTCTAGTTCTACGATAAAGAACGCCACGAATGGTCAAAGTTAGATGTTTCGAATAATACATTATATATACTATAATAATACATTATATTCTTTATTAAATCAATTTATTCCAGATATGCGCGCTGAACATTCGGACCTCCAACACACACAATCACTCTGAAACGCTAATAATCCCCCCCCCCCCTAAATAAATTAGAAAGAAAGAAAGAGAGAAAGAAACTTATTGAGAAAAATATTATCTCAGCCAGGATTCGAACCTAGGACCTCTCAACTTTCCGAGAAGAGTATCTTAGCCAACTCGACTACTGGGGCATTGTAATCTTCTTCTTCTTGTGAGTTGATGACCGCAGACGAACGCCCGCGATACGGCCAGTATCTAATGTAGCGATGCGTAGAACGCTCCGCGCACATCTTCCAATTGGAAGGGCGCCAGGAGGAAAGCGGCGAATCAAATTTGAGTATCTAAAGAGCGGAAAAAGGATAGCAAAAGGCGGCAGAGTTTGGAAGAGGGTTTCACGAGGCAAGGAAATAAATTGTTTCGAGAGTTAGGAAACTTGATGCGGAGATAGTTAATCAGTTTATCAGCTTTATGTCGAGTCAATCGGCAATGAAATATGAAGTGATTGATGTCCTGGCGTGAATCTCCGCAAGCGCAGTCCGGGGAGTCGACTATATTTTTTCTGTGAAGGCTATATCGGAGATTGTAGTGATTAGATCTAATACGGTTGACAAGTACAATTTCTTCTTTTTTAAGCGATTTATTGTAGTGATACGGGCCAGGTCTAGGGCAAAAAGTCTTGGTAGTGATCTGCGAAGAGCTGTTCTTTTACAAAAGTTTCACTTTACTTGTTCCACTAAAAAAGCGGCCAAACGTTGTTCGCTCCTCAGCTTGAATTCTAATTGAATATCAGGGTATGGAATTTGGTATACAGGTCGAAAGTCTGAATTACATACATTCCGGGCAAGCTGATCTGCTATTTCATTGCTTGGAATTCCTTTGTGAGAAGGGACCCAGAACAGGGTGATTACAGTCTCCGACTACTGAGCAAGCTAGAGGTTTTGTTTGATGTAACTGATGAGATAATTCTTGTGGTTTGCATTGGTAACTGATGGTTTCTAGGGGTACGTTCGGGAAGACACTATCAACGCTACCAACGCAAACGCTACTAACACTGTTCGTGTAGCCAATAGCGCGATAGTGATAGTGAGTTCCATGAACGATCATTAGCGTTTACGATGGTAGCGTTGATAGCGTTTCTCGAAACGTACCTGCTCTTCGTCTGTAAATAATTCTGTAAATAATTTTTGATTCCAAGGTAATCCTTTTTTTCTTTGAAATTATATTGTACGGTATAAAAGAGATGTAATATTTAAGTTAAAAGTAAAATTTTTATGTTACTTATTTGCACATATTTGCTATAATTTAAGATTATGTCATCTGAGATTATGTTTAAAAAGTTGCGTGATAAAAATAGCGTAATTTATTAATATCTGCATGTTTTAATGTATAAAACATCATGTTGCAGTTACAAAATCTTTTATTTATATTATATGTATTTTTTTTTCTTTGCACAAACAGTGTTAAAGTATATATATCCTTCCTAAACTCGACTGCTCCTCACAGTTTTGAAGCCAAAATGTAACAAAATTGTAATCGTAAAAGGATTTTAACAGTGGTAGGACTTATACTGCGAGAATTAATAGATTCTTCATCGTCTGAAAGCGATGATGAAGATTTGCAGTTAATTGTAAGAAATCCAAGAAGACATGTCCCAAGAATCGAAAATTATGTAGATGGATTGTTACCACAATTGACAAGAAAAGAATTTCAAGCCCATTTTAGGTGATTTACTAATATTTATTTCTTTTTTTGTAGGAATGAGTTATATTTTACCTTTTTTTTCTTTTTATGAGATTTTAACGACACCTGACCTCCTACGAGGCTCAATACAAAAGCGAAGAAGTCAAAAAGTGGACTGCAAAATGTAAAGAAAAATAACCTCGACAACATGAAAATGGCGGGAATGATTCACTACCTTCACTACTACTAGCGTTCACAAACGCTAACGCTATCCATGCACTACCTCGGAGGCAAGAACGTTGGTAGCGCGAATTATGACGTCAAACGCTACCGACAATGACGTCACGGATGGCGTTCGTAGCGTTGGTAGGGAGCTCTCCGAACAGCGGTAGCGCTCGATAGCGCTAGTAGCGAGCTTCCCGAACATACCCTAGGACGCTTTTCGAATCAGTGAATATAACGATATTGGAACATTTGTTTTCGCAAGCAGTTATGATGACTTGTAAGATGACCCAGGCTTCAGCCGAAAAGACGGAAGTTTCAGGGGGCATTCTGTGTTGGATTCTAAGGTCTAGATCTGGGGAGTAGATGCCCACGCCAGCAGCAGAGGTCCGATCCAATTTGGACCCGTCTATGTAAAAGGAGACATAAGGATGGGTGAATTCCGAAGTCCTATTGTTAAATTCAGCTTGAAAGACAGTTGAGGAACACGATTGGTCAATCAGGGACATTGAGTCGATGAATGGTTGACAGAAGATAGAGGATTGATAATTATGCAAGAATGATGGAGGAATAGCCGACGAAAAGATAGAGCCCGCAACATGTTTATGAGTGATGTATTCTCGTAAACAGGGAATAGTTTGTAGCGCTTTGGAGCGCTGAATTGGATTACAGAGAGCTCTCTCCATATCAGCTAAGCTATTTAAGACAGGATTCTCAGTAATTGCCAGATTTTTGTAGAGGAATTTAGAAGTGAGATAGGCGAATATGTTTAGGGGCGGCTCCTTGTATTCAGCGAATAGGATGTTAATTGGAGTAGAAACTCTGTAACCGCCCGCAGTCCGTAAGGCTCTAAATTGGAGTCTTTGGAGTTAAAGGAATTTGCCTTGGTTGTTTTTAATTTGGAATATTTGGCATCCATATTCAATTGAACTCCGAAACATTGAGCGGTATAATATGAGGAGTTGTTGTGGGTGAGCACCCCATCAACAACCAGCCAAACAGGAAATAGCACTGAGAATTTTTCTTCCCTTCTGAATAAGGTATTCAATATGTTCATTGCCTTTGAGACGTGAATCCAGGATGATTCCTAGGAACCTAAGAGAGGTGACAGTTTGCAGGTTTTAACGACTGATATGAAGAGGTCTGAGAATGGAAGGTGACCTTTTCTTTTTACCGAAGACCATACATTTGGATTTATCTGGAAATAGATCTAGGCCTCTGTGTCTCAGGTAAAGAGTCTGTTAAGAGTTGCTTGCACCGCAAGTCTCGCTTTGTTGGGATCTCTGTTGGTAGAGAACACGACGATATCGTCTGCGTACTGTAAGATTTTGGCGTTTTGATCTATGCATAGTCCAATCCTACTCATTTAAATGTAGAATAAAATCGGACTTAAAGGGATGCTAAAGTTGTTCTACTTTACCATCATTTCCATTCGGTGAAATATCTCCGAATTGAATTGACGGATTGCAAAAAATTGTTTTTACAGAATTAAAATACGCACAAACAGGACCTCAGCTGTATCGGATTTTAGGAGAAAATCGAAGAAAAGTTTAAAAATTCGCTTACTTTTAGCTTGTACAGCTGACACTTCAGGTCTATATTTGCTTCATACAAGAGTTTTATAGTTTATATCTTGAAAATAAGCATAGGTCTGAGGTCACATTATTGTAACGATACCAAGTTTATAGAACTAAGATTGAAAGTCTGGAAGGAAAGTAATCCTACCGAATAGAAAATACGTATATACGGGTACTTTGCGAAGATTGGGACTGTCAACAGAGTCGAAATTCCATGTAGTAATAGTTGCGCGATCTTGCGATAGATAGTGCTGGCATATGTTAGATAAGGACAGATGTATGCGTTTAAGTGAGATAGAACGATATATAATATAATGTAAGAAATGAATCAAAGATGTCACTATTATCGAATTTGGAATTAAAAAAGCCTGCACTATCGACCTCGATCAAGTTCGGTAATCGGTTTAGGATCCCCTTAACGTAGAGCCTTGACGGGTACCTTTGAAGGTTCAAAAGGGACCTTTAAGTTTGCCGTCTTCAACAACATAGATATTGCGCTCAAATATTAGGTTACAAATAAATCTTCTTACTCGTGCAGGAATACCAATGGATTTTAAGTCTTCGAGGAGATCTAGACGGAATGACGTCAAATGCTCCAGCAATGTCCAAAAAGGCGGAAACCGTAGTTTCGTCATTTGCGAAGTCCTGATAAATGTGGTTGGTTAATGTGACCAGGTTATCAGCACAAGAATGGCTGGGTCTGAAGCCTAGTTGAAAGTTGGGTAGAAGTTGTTTGGATTCAACGAACCATTTGAGGCAAAAGTATATGATTTTCTCTAAGATTTTCAGCAAACAAGAAATGAGTGAAATTGGGCGAAGCCCTCTACCACCCGCCTTAAGTATAAAAATTACAAGCGATACGGACATTCCTTAGGGAAGGATCCATCTTTAAATATTTCATTAAGTAGATTAAGCAAGTATTCTCTCTGCGTCAACGGAAGGTTTTTAATAAAGCGGGGGTCAAATTGGTCTAGGCTGGGAGCCCCCTGAGTCTTAAGGTTCAGGAGAGCAGCGTTGAACTCCTTCAAACTTAATGGAGCATCGAGCGAGCTGTAGATATCAGAAACATTGTCCTCTTGCATGGATTCTAACGATGGTGGTCCCATTTCCTTACAAAAGGGTGGACATAGTTTGTTAAAAGTGTCTCTGAACTGATCTGGATTGTGATTGACTGTTCTAGCAGAGCTGTCAAGATCTCTCTTCTTGAATGCTTTAATTAATCCCCATTTGGAAGTATGCGTATTCCTATCAAATTCTGCACAAAGCTTTTTCCAGCCTTTCTTCTTTTCTCAGAACCTTGATACAATGGGCCGCAGTTCTTTTGTATTTGATATATGAATCAAGACTAGGAGAACGCCTAAATGCGACCATAGCTTCGTGCCTGAGTCCCACCACATAAGCTGACTCATTGGCTGCGTTCAGCAGAGAAAGCAGCTTTGCAACTGTTGTAAAATTCTTCAATATGATTGGTTTATACGTTTAGATCTATAAGGAATCAAAAACAAGAATCAATCATATTGAAGAATTTTACAACAGTTGCAAAGCTGCTTTCT